ACTAGTGCACTCCGACTGGCTGCATATGGAAGTGCGATCCGTGTTGTCCTTCCAGCAACCTGGATAAAGATACAGAACCACATAATGAGTCATTTATAATTTTTATTGCCCTTTCCCAGACTCACCCTGCTTGACAATCCTGGTTCCATTGGGCGTCTGGTTCCATAGCGTAAAGCAGAAGGTATAGCCATCGGAACAGGTGCGTCTGTGTGGCTCGCTGGGCACCGGAGTGGACTCCACCTGCTGCTCCTGCACCTCGCCACTGGAGTCCTGATCGCCATCATCTTCATGGAAGGAGTTGTCGTTCTCCTGGAAGCTCATACAGCTGTACTGACGACTGGGAACAGGTGCTAATCAAATCAAAAAAAAATTCCATTCATAAATAATTCACAGATAACCAGACTTAATAGTACTCACATGCTCTGCCCAGTGAGATCAAGGCCAGCAGAAGAAGCCAAGGCCAGCTGTAGATAACCCACTTCATGATGTCAGAAATCCTTTGATAGGCCTTTAGTTTGATATTCCCGGGATGACTTTGATAGCCCAACCAATGCTAACCAATGTTACGGCATTTTGTACAACCTGAAAGTGCTGAAAGAAAGCCAAAGTTTATTAATACCGATTTCGGTCTTCTTTGTAAATAGCATCTACGCAGGAATTATCAATAGTCTGTCACACTCTCGCACCCTTTCCAACCTCTTTCCCCCTTCCATAAGTATTACTCTCCTATTCTCTTTGCGTATCAATAGGCGATGACAATTCGCGAGCTCAGCGACTTTATCAAGCCAACTGCCGGCGATAATGGCCAGACCCAAATACTCGCACAATTCCACCAACCCCAAAAGCCGAACACTACCGATCGCCAAGCGTCTGTCGCTCGAAGTCTGTCTAGATCGGGGAAGAGTGGGGGTGGGGGCCTATGGGGAACTACGAACACCCACCCACTCCAAGTCTCGGGGGAACTGTTGCACTTTGGAACCCATTTGGAACCAGGCGCCGCCAGAATACGAAAAATCATTTCAGTTGGGGATCGAGTGCAATAAAGAAGATCTCGACTGGGGAATACTCATATCAAGCAGAAAAATAAGTAAACCATAATTATAATAGTTAGGATATGTATATATCGGTAAAGTTTTTTGTATTTAATGAGACCATCTTAAACTTTTTATAGTGTGTATAGCCAGAAATTCTCAATTTATAATTAGAAGCATTCTTCAGGCCTCGTTTCCTCTTCAATGAGGATTAAAAAATTTTGCCAGTATTAATTAGTTGGCTGGTTGAACTCATTACTCTCTACTGCTTTCCAATTATAGGGTACGTATGAAAATATGTCTTATACACAAACTTACCTACTTATATTAAAATGTGTTTATACCTAGCAGGTAACGAATTTGCATTAGCGACATTTGGGTTAATTGTGGGTGACGGGGCATGAAATTTAAAGCAAGATAAGCATTTTATCAGAGAGGGAGGATAGACTTATCACGCGATTATGAAATCTACGACCGCAACCTACTGTAATTATTTATGGCGCTTCCAATTAAAGAAATTTTTAATCGAGAATGAATGCAAAAGCGCCTATTATCTTTACTAATCTCACACTATTTACTATTATTCGATTTGTTTGATTCGGGAAAAACGTCTATAAGTAAATTAAGTTCAAAAAAAATTTTTAATGTTTTAGCAAGTCTAAATAATATAAAAAAGAATACACAACAAGTATTTTATCTTTAAGTAGTTAAATTGGTTGACTTAAAGTTGTTAAAATCTCATTTTAAAGAAGGCTTGTAGTTACTTGTCAAATCGATTTCATAGGGTTGTATAAGTAAAATTTCCGTTCAGTCATGAGCGGTCAAATTGTGTGCGCTTACATTGTTTTTTGGCTTTGTGTGAATTTCGTCGGATTCCTTCTTGTGCTGAACTATTTTTCTACTCTTCATAAAGAAGACTAAGGTAAAATAGATTATTTTGATTGGAGTTGTTCCTTAAAAGCTGGTTTATAATTTCCAGAGTTCAGTATGGACTGGCATTACGCCATATTATGTTGTTTATTTATGATCTGGCTGCAAACGATATGCCTTTACAAAATATTTGTAAGAAGTTATGTTTGTCTTAACAAGAAGCCGGCCGACAAAGGCGTTTGTTATCAGGGTTTGTTTCCTCCTCCCGACGAAATGGAAAAGTGCTCAGAAGAGAATTTGGATTTCCTAAGAGAGCCAGAAAAGGACTTCAATAATTTAGAAGATCAGAAGGTGAAAAGGCTGGACGAGGTGGATTCTTCCGGCAAGGTGTCAGATTCTCCAGAAAAGTCGGAAAAGAAGTGTGCGGTTCCAAAGGAACATAAGGAGTCGGAAAGCGATTTTAGTGGTTCAGAAAATCAAAAGGTAGCATGGCTGAACGACTTGGATTCTTCCGACGAGATGTCAAATTCTTTAGAAGAGTTGGTAGAGGAGTATGAGGTTTCAAGGGATTATATTTTGCGTGCCAAGAAGATGGGCCCTCCCGTTCAAATTAAAAATATTCTATTGGATAGTATCGAACAGGAAAAAATCCCAAAGTCCTTTGAAGACCGCTTTAATGCCAGTCGCCAGAAGATTCTTTACAGGAGGCGTCGACAGGAGCGATCCGTATTCAATTTTTTTTCATGGATATTTTTATATTGAATTTAAACCGCAAATACAGTTTTGAAGGGACGCTAAATTTTCTTTTAACTTTTGTTGCTGATTTCTTCTCCTTTCTCCACCTTCAGCACATGCGCAGAAGAGAGTCCGAGAAGAAAGAGAGCGGAGTCCGACGCGCCAAAACAGGTTCTACTGGCGCTGTCTCAAGTGCCCCATGGAGTGGGGTGGACCGCGGGCGCGGAGGGTGGACCCGCCGGCTGCTCTCGCACGATAGCCGACGGCGCCAGTTAATTGCAAATACTGCTTGATTCCCTACATTTGGTGGGGTATGGCCACAAGACCAGACAGAAAAAAGCATTCTAAAACTATAAACTAAGTTGTTAGAGATACTTGTTTTGGAAGGCCTACTGGTAATTTTTTTAATTAGATGCATTATATAATTTTTTGTGTTATTAAATTCTCAGATATTGTAAAAATATTCTTAGACCCGAAAGAAATATTACAGTCCCTGATAATTATACATAAAATAAAATTCAACACTTTCCTATCAGGGTTAAATAATCTACTACTAACAGTAATCTACTAATAAATAAGTGTTAAATAACCCATTTTGGATAGGGCATTCAAATGTCGTTCAAGTTGTTTTTCCCATTCAAAATGTTGGTGTTTTTGGTCTCCTCACATTGGTTCTTTTTCTTTGGGGCCTGATTAACTTTTTGCGTGCTGCGTGTGCATTTGTCCATGTCCCCATCCCCAACCCCATCCCCACAAAAAAATGCCACTGCAGCCAAAGTGATTCGGGATTCATCTTCGTTCTACAGCTGCATTTGGCCAAACTGCGACATTCGAAAAAAAACGATGTAGAAAATCAATGCAAAAACACAAAAGTGCAAGCAGACGAAGAACAGCAAGAACAACAATGGTGAAGGGAATGTGAATGGGAATGGGAACGGGAATGGGAATGGGAATGGGTTCGGAGGTCTCTTGTTGACTTTTTTGTACACATGAACAAATTTCAATACATTCTTAACAGGTTCAAAAAGTAAGGTTTTAAAATTCAGGGTATGTCATTTTAATGATTCATATAATTTTTAATTATAAAAAAATAACTAAAGATATAACAAAATATTTAGAGGTTGTTCCAAGACATTTTTCATCCAGTTTCGGTAAACTTACTTAAAAAAATTTATTTAAAATTCAAATTGATATCTATTAAATAGTAACAAAATCATTAAGCTAAATAAAAAGTCTGAAAGTTTTGCTAAAACCAACTTTAAGAGACTTTTAAGAGCTTTTGTGAACACCCCGAAATCGGATTGTAATATTTTTCTCAGTGCAAGTTCACTGTGTGCAGACAGTTTTCTGCCAGGGTGGGTGGCCCAAGCCCACCGTCTGCCCTTCTGCTGGTCTGCGTATTTGTGTGTGTGTACTTGCGCAGAGTGGAGTAAAAAATTGATTTTTCCAAGACATTTTCCATTGTTGTTTGCGGAAAACATTTGCACTATTATGCACTATTTCGGACGCCATTCGATAGCAAAACTTACACTTAATTCAGGGCGTTTGTTGCACTGCACTTGCACTTTAAGTTGTATTACTTTTTCGTTTTTTGCATGAAGTTGGCCAATGAAGTTGCACACTTGCCGGAAAATTTATGATTTGGGGCACCGGCGCCAGTCGCGTCTGCTTTTTTTTATTTTTCCTCTTTTTTGTGGCTTTTTTATGGCACTTTAAACAAGTTTGCACGATAGGCGGGCCGTTTTTGCCGTTTGGTTTTTCGCAGCGCGCCACCTTCGCCCGCCGACTTTCGAGGAATGAATGCGGTTTGCTGCGCCGCTCTCATTCTCGCTCTCTTCGCAGCTCCATTGCGACGTCGACTGCGCTGCTGGCGCTCGTTTTGGGGCAGCCGAAGAAGAAGCGGCATGCGTGTATTTACGAAGCTGCGTGGAATGGCGGAGGCAGCGATTGGAGCGAGAGTGGAGCAGCTGAAAGAGGAAGAGAGCAAGCCAGAAAGAGAGGCAAAAGGGAGAGAGAGCACTTGTTGAGCTAATCAGCGTGCACCGAAAAAAAATTATATTACGTATACGCTACGATGTTCGTTAATCCTAAAAAGTATGCTTCAAAATATATAATAATAGCTAACCTAGATTTAGTTTACCAACACTATATTTTTTTGAAAAATCAAAGAAGACTATTATATTATTATTGCAAACCAAATATTTTCTTCTAAAATAATCTATTATTTTTTTCATAACAAACTGTTTTTTGTCCTACCCCATATAAAAGGTATCTGTTTGCTTTTTAGATTCTTGACACCTGATATAAAAGTAAAAATATTAAATTAAACAATAAATCCCATGGATTTTATTCATATGTTTTTATTCAAAAAGAATCATTATAATCCAAAGGTAACCCTACTGCGGCACAGGGTGGGCAGGCAACACCTGACCCACACACTCCCCAAATCCAATGCGCAGACCGTTTTTCTCGCAGTGTCCCCGGATGATGACCTCGTCATAGTCCTGCAGGAACTTCCTGGTCTTGCCACCCGGCAGCTCCACCGTCTTGGTGCCCTTCCAGCAGAGCTCCAAAAGTGATCCATACGAATCCGGGGTCTCGCCGGAGATCGTTCCGGAAGCCATCAGGTCACCCGGACGCAGGTTGCAACCGGTGACAGTATGATGGGCAATTTGCTGCAGTGGTGTCCAGTACAGGTGCTTGAAGTTGGATTTTGAGATGAGCGATTCGTTCTGGTCGGAAGCTGAAATTGTAGAAGTTCTTAAATTAAAAGATCTCAAAGAGATTTCAAAATTATCTTAACATACGTTTCAGAGAGACCTCCAGATTGATATCAAAATTAAAGGGGATGCTCTGGCGCAGATAGGGCAACACTTCTGGTTCCTGTGGGAAGTTGTCCAGCAGGAAGGGTTTCAGAGCAGCTGTGGGCACTACCCATGGCGATATGGTGGTGCCCAGATTCTTTGCTGTGAAAGGGCCCAATGGCACATACTCCCACTTCTGGATATCCCTGGCACTCCAGTCGTTCATCAGCGTGAAGCCAAACACATTCTTCCAGGCCTCGTCCACGCGGATGGGTTCTCCCAGCTGATTGCCCTTACCACCAATAAAGAAGGCCATCTCCAGCTCGAAATCTAAAAGTCTACAAGCTCCAAAAACTGGCTTCTCAGCTCCATCGGGAAAGGTTTGTCCCAAGGGACGGCGGATGGGGGTGCCAGAAACTACCACAGAACTTGCACGACCATGATAACCCACCGGCAGATGGCGCCAGTTCGGCATCAGGGCATTATCCGGTCCTCGGAACATAATGCCCACATTGGTGGCATGATGGATGGATGAGTAGAAGTCCGTATAGTCGCCAATCTGGGCAGGCAGATGCAGTTTGATTTCAGACTGGGAAACGATGGAACTGAAATAGAAGCAGATATATAATATGCGCTGTAAAAAATATAACAAAGAAATCAAAAAATTATACCCACACCGCCTTTAAGTCCACATTCTGATCCAGTTCGGAACCCTTGGACAAAAGCTTCTGAGTCTGGGTCCTCACCACATCCCAAGCTTCAAAGTCCAGCCCCATAAGCTCATTCAAAGTTTCCGCCTGAAGGCTTTTCTGAACTTGCAAAGGATACAACTGCGAGACAGCTTTCAGATCCAGGACATGCTCTCCAATGGCCACACAAATACGATGAACCTTCTATAAATGATTAGAACAAAAATACCTTTTTACGATATACACATACGATATGATATGGAGTCTTATCAAAGCTGGTTGCTGGGTTGTTAAAGATTGGATTAGCATATTGTTTTCGTAAACAAACTAGTTTGTGTTGGATGATGTATGCAAATGCTATGCCCCAAAGCGGTTTCTGTTCTAGAGTTGATTTCTAGAACATGTGGAACAAACTCAAGTCACATGGAAAATGATGAAACTCTAAAAACTTACAAATATCTAAGATAATTTAACTATATCTTGTAAGATACCTTAACTATTGTTGTAAAATTTCATGAAATTTAATTTCCCATTTCAGAAAGATATATCACTCACATTGTTTTCGGTTGAGAAGACAGCATAGGGCAAATTTTCCAGGGGAAAATCGCTGCCCGCTGGTACTGGCACAAAACTCTGGGACATTTTAAAAGCACTCAAAGTGGAAAACTTTGGCAGGTGGGTGTGAATCAATAAACTGAAACAGAGAAGCGGAAAAAATGTGCGCAGAGCCAGAGTGAGCTAGATAATAACTGAGGGGTTTTCAATCTACGATCCGCTTTATATAGGCTCTCCAGATCCCACGATCTCTCTCTTCTCTTAACAAAACCAAGCCCCCAAAGCAGAAGAGTACCCTATACCATTATAAAGAGAAACATTGATTGCGCTTTGGTTACTTTTATTTTTATTTACCCATATATTTATATATATAATATATTCTTTTGCATTTATATAGATGTTGGAATAATTCTTGTTCTGGTTTTGATTTGGATCTCTGCAAATACATATACATTAATTTATACATACATAAAATGAGCGTGATGCTGGATAAACTTAGATAACACGCTTTAAAATACTATAATTGTTTAATTTATTTTTATACCATTCATTTTTTATTTTTGCTAAATTGACAAACGAGTTTTGTGCACAGGTAGAATGTAATATGTCTGATTGTGTTCTTCTGATTGAGGGACTTTCCATTCCAACCTTCCTGGATCAAGAACTGATTAAAACTTAACTGAAAACAGAATCTTCCAACATTCGTAATTGAGTTTAATTGACTCCGGGTAATATATATTTGTCAGCCGTTTGCTGGAAACTAAACTCCAACTAATTCGATTATACGTATTCATGTCTCTATATATAGCACAGTTCGATACATGGACTAAATGGGATCTGTCCTGGTGGACAGATCCCCGTTCTTTGGTTTTGTCTATACAATTAACAAGCACAGGTCTCTTTCGATCTCGTTTTTATAAAGGTACGCATGGCCATAGATAACTATATGAAAAGATTTACTATTTGCAAACAAAGCAAAATCAACGAATTGAACTAAGGTCCTTAACTCTTCTTCATCTTTTCCTGATATGTTAAGATAGCGTTCCAACAGTTTCTATATCGTATATATTTCATAGTATTGAGTTTTGGGGGCTGGGACTGTTCCGTGTTTTTTGGTGGTGCGTGTGTGGAGCGGTGGCTTCTATGCTCTGAATTCCATCGTTATTTGCGGATACATATAGATATTCAAATATTACTTATAGATTCTCCTCTCTGTCCTTCGATTTAGATATAGTTGCCAACGAACGGAAATGAAACGCCTCGATTATACATACATAGTTCTTTTTTTTTGTCAACTCCGGGACGAACGGATAACGACGGTTAACGAATAACGGTTAACGGATAACGGGATGAGAAATCGTAAAGGAACATCTAGCAACACGTTATAGATACAAACAAATGTACATTCAACATTGAACTCTGATGATTAGCTGGATTCGAGTACCCTGCTCTCAAATTTCTGGGTTTTTCGTAGCGGTCTCCTGATATGCTTTTACCTTAATGATACTTCTTGGTTGTGCGATCTACCATTATCAATCTAAGCGGAACCGAACCGAACCATGCTGAAACCCCTTACAAGTCATCGCCCAGACGATGGATCTCGTCCAGCATAAAGTCCACATCCGCCTCGTTGACCGCCGCCGATGAGATGATCGATCGGAAGAAGTTGGGTCGCCGATCGTCGGGTTGATAGCCCACCATCAGCGTTCCCTTCTGCATCATGCGACCCTTGATGATGGGGCAGATCTGAAAGGATAGTATCGAAATATTATATATTTTCCTATCATAAAGATACTTTAGAGCATTAAAGGTAAATAATAATTAAAATAATGCATTATAACTTTGTTTCAAAAATAAAATATTCATATCCTATTTCAAATTCAGAATTAATTCGTTTGGTAATAAGAACAATATTTGAAAAAATGTAATTAAAATCCTCAAAAATATATATATTAAACATGTTGATTGTTTAGATAAGTTATATAGTACCAAAAATCTATTTGAACCAAACACAATAAGCAATCTAAGAAGTATTCTATCTTAATGTGCTGTTAGATCTCTAACCTTAGGCTATATTTATAATTATAATATATATTTGTGAGTAATTTTTTAACGTATTGTCTTACCTTTCCCAGCTCCTGCTCCTTCTTGGCATCATGTGGTACTCCTCTCAGCCGCTTGGGCACATACCAAAAGGAGACATTGACGCACTCTGGCTCCAGGATCAGATGAAAGCGATCGGACTGCTCCCGGATTCGCTTCAACTGGTATTGGACCAGTTCCATGAGGCGATCCTGCTGCTGCTCGAAGCCTTCGGTGCCCTTTGCCCTCCACTGGAGCCACAACTTGAAGATGTCGTTGTGCCGGCCGCACTGGATCACCTTGTCTCCGGTATCGTAGCTAATATCATACTGCTTGTCGGTCATGAACAGATACTCGGCCGACATCTGGTTACAGCTGATGAGGAGGCCCTGCGGAAAAGATATAACACATATATCGATTTCGAATAAAATCTCTCACTCTGCAAACATAGCCCAACGTAGCTCTCTGTCCATAAGTCAAGTTGAAATTTTAATTAAAATTCCGCCTGCCAAAAGACGCAACTGTGACCGATGGTAACATATTGCATGGGATGTAAAAAAGTCAGGGTGACTCGACGCATTTGGACCATGGTGGGTTCGTCAAAGATTTCATTACGCATTGTGTATGCGGGACTGCTACCCTTGGCCATTTGGCTCCTGGTTTGGCAGGACGAACAACAAGGAATTGTTCGGAGTACAATTGGAATTCTTTACACAAACATTGTTCGATGTGCATCCAGAAGAATGTTGGGCAAACCGGGGGAATGGGGCAGTGGAGATGGAATTTAAAGCATGGGGTTGAGCTAGAGGTATGCCTCGAATTTGTATCGCTTGGTTGGAGTGGGGAAATGGAAATGGTGGAAGACCAACTTCTCTGACAGGCTGGCCTTTAATTTTAATTTGTGACTCAAAGAACAATTATCCGTTTATTACTTTCCAAAGAGTAATTTCCCTCATTTTGAGCAATAAAATACGAAATATGTGAGGTCACAGCTGTAAAGGATCCAGCACTTCAGATTCAGATTTCATTTAATGTTGCATACTTTTATAGCACGGACTTTGTTTGATTTGCAACAGAGTGGAGGAGTGTGCTTAACCAACAAATCTCATATAAATTCCATTAAGTTCAATTTTAAGTCTTAGAACAGCAATTTTTTTGTTAAAACATCTAAAATCATAGGAAATATATGAACATTTTTATTTCTTAAGTTCTTAAGTTTCTTAAGTTTCCTATTATTTTCTTAATTAAAGTTAAACCATTTTATATATTATGATCCATTAAATGGTATACTTACATCCTCCTTGAAGTGGATCGTGGAGCACTGGAGTAGAGCTCCCATAAGCTTGTGGGGATTCCAGGTGACCGAATCGGCACTGCAAGAGTCAAATCATAGCGTTAAATGGACATTCAATTACGAATTACAAACAATTAACACTAAGCTGCCGCAGTGCGGTACAAACCCCAATCCACTAAAAATCCAACCCCCTGCTGTTCGACAAGATGTACGAAAAAAAAAGTAAGGGGAAGGGATGCGGAAGGTCCTGGCAAGTGCCATAAATTGTGGCAATTTCAGGCCGCAGCACTTTAATTGAATTCAAAAGAGCGGCGAGGACAACCCCCGTGGGCACTGGAGGGTTGACATTGACAGCTAAACATCCCTGTGGGAGCTATTTACAGTTATGTGGGCGCGGTCTGTGTGTGTGTGCGTAGGATTGGGCTTGGAAGTGTGCGTGAGTGAGTGGGTGTCTATAAACATGATCCTTATGGAGTGCCTGGAAGTATGCTTCACTTTTTTACACCTTGTCGATTTGGGGAAAAGGGGTATATTGTTTTTCAGTTAACGAAATTTGAATAAAATAATCCTTATATTAAAAATACATTTCAATAATTTCTTAGATACTGCTGTATTTAAGGACATACACAATTTATAAAGAAATTTCTATAAAAACATTTTTTAAATATGTAAGAAGTTTACCAAAATATTATATAAAATATATTTTAAATGCCAAATTGGCTCTGTTCCCAATATATTTTTATCTTTTTTTGAATTAGTGTAAGATTTTTAAATCAAAAATTAAAAACCTTTATAATATCATAAGGAGTATCTTACAGTCTCAACATTTTTCCTACCTAATACCTATTTGATTGAGCGACGGCATGTGGAGCTAAACTTTTAAGATGAGATTCTCGTTCGATTGTTTTAAGTTTATTTCCAAAATGAAACTCAGCGGATTTAAGAGCCACCATCGAAGAACCATTAATCAGAGTTGCCTAAGCCGTCGAAGGCCGCAAAATGTCAGCTGCATGGGCATTTTAATGATTAATTCGCGTTGAGAGCCTTTCAATTAAGGACCTCGATTTGCATGCCACAACAATTTGGGACTTAGGATCCATTCAAACTAATTGAAGGCGTTTGCCAGTTGGCCTGGGTGATGGATGGATGAATGGATGGAAATGGGAGGACAATCAATTTCAAAGTGTTTATGGAGTCGGATGCTTGACCGCAAGCTGTCGATACTGCGACAGCTGCACTTGCCGCATTTGCCTAAGCTTCCTGAAGACTGAGTGGAATTAAAGATGTTGTATGGATTGCTGATGTAAATGGATTCGAATTGGAGATGGAGTATAAAGTGCATTTCAGGTTGCGACTTTAAAATTAAAAATTCCTCGCCCTGGGGATGAATCCCTGACTTGCCCTCGCCCATTCATTGTTTGGCGTAATTGTTGTGTAAGTAATGCCCATGGATGTATAAAACACCCCCCTTGGCTAGATGGATTGCCTAGGAGAAGGGCATCCGGAATATCCACTTTGTTCATTTGTTTGTTCGGGATAAAATGCACTCGGCTTGTGCCTTGTAATCCCTGTAAGCTCTGAACACCTGATGGAGGCACTAAATGACAAATTGAGATTTTTCCCACATGTTCAACTCGAGCCTGTGCCGCAAAAAAAGAGGGCGGGAAACTGAGCGATGCGGGCCATTTGGGAGCATTTAGATTTAAATTTACCCAACCCGGCCAGAGATTTCAATTTGTGTTTTGACTGGGCCGAAGATGAGGGCGCCCAAGGCACAAAGTTCATGTCAAGAACGATGATGAATGGGCATAACAATT